AACCCTAACCCTAACCCTAACCCTAACCCTAACCCTAACCCTAACCCTAACCCTAACCCTAACCCTAACCCTAACCCTAACCCTAACCCTAACCCTAAACCCTAACCCTAACCCTAAATTGACTTTCTTGCTCATTTCAAGCTGATTTTCTCCCAGATTTGGTGTATGTTCTCAGACGCAGGGGAATGATGGGGTAATGGTGAAGCTGGATATGCTTTGACCGGTAAAAAAGGTCAGCTGTTAGGGGTTAGGAGAAATTTCCTTTTTTGGCCAAGGATCTTAGATGGGGGTCTTTTCCTATACCTCCACACCAAGTTGAACATCTCTTCTTCCCCCAGGATGAAACTCGAGGCAAGTATCGGGAGAAATGGTTGAGCCTGACTGAAAATACCGAAACTCAAAGGATCGCAAATCAAAATATATTTGTTTTAAAAGAATGGACAAGATGGGGGTGTGTTCCTATACTTGCACACCAAGTTGAACATCTTTTCTTCCTCTAGGGTGAAACTCGAGGCAATTATCGGGGGAAACAGTCGAGCCTGAACGAAGAAATCAAAAATTTCCTTTTTTGGCCAAAGTTGTCACGTTAACCCTCCAGAAGTAGAGCTCTCTCGCCGCTTTCCAACGGTTCCGGTTTCAAGGGAAACGGCCCAGCGGTTGTTGAGATATGAGCCTTTTACTGCTAAAAAGCGCCGGCTCCGGCCGAGTTTTTCGCGTTTTTCGGCTCAGGGACTGATGGGATCAAAAAATTTTATATATGAAAGGTGATCGCAAAGGTCATATCTACCTCTCAGAATTTTTTCATATTTTTTTTTTTTCCATCTCGGAAGCTCGGCAAGCACAGCCACTCGCTCGGAACCTCGGCAAGCACAGCCACGGGGATTCAGAACTCTGAGGCCAACCATAAATGAATAGGGATTTGAGGAGAGAGTGAGGGGAATTGCGGGGACAGTGAGGGGAAGTAAGGGGAAGTGAGGGGACATTGAGGGGAAGTGTGAGGGTAATTGAGGGGGAATGCAGGGAGTGTTGACAGCGAAACGAAATATTTTACCAAGCGTTAAGCAAGATTCAAAGGTTCTAAACGGTTCCCCGTGCTCCTGTGATATCCTTCGTGAGGCGAGAGTGAAAATCACGATGGATTTCAACCTCCTAGCGTTCGGTTTCATTGGCTTGTGTTGCTATTTTGCAAGAACATGCTGTCAAATGCACTCGTTTGGCAAGCCTGGAGCTGGACTCCAGGTTCAGTATGGCTGATTAGTATAGTTTCGCAAGTATATGCGTTTGTTGGACGACCCCGCAAAAACACAGCCACCGCCCCTCAATTCCCCTCAATTCCCCGCAACACCGGCATTTTCTCCTGGCCCGAAAGTATCCACTAGGCTACATAATTGGCTCAACTGAATTTGTGCTTGGGAGGTTCACATGGTTCGTTCAACGAACCAGATTAGGATTTTCCCAGCAGCTACTATCTAAGACTTCAGCTACAAATCCAGCGTCTCAGTGCTCACGAGTCATGAGTGCGCACTTGGGTGCTTCCCGTTTCACAAAGGTCTGTGAATCTGGTCTAACTACCAAACACAGTGATAGCTAGAGCGCTCGGGCCATAAATTCGTTGAGACGTGAACCCTTTGTCTTAACTAATCTTGAGGCCCAGCGTTTCTTAAACGGTCATTCTCCTGGATTGGCTTCCTTTGACTGCCGTAATAATGACGCGCACAAGAGTGCCGCTTGAACGGTACCCATACCAAAACCCCCCACTCCAAAGTCAGCGTAAACACTGCTTATGATTCATGCGTTGATCGAAACCCATAAGCTAGACAAGTGAGCGGAATATCTTCACCGCGAGGGCTCGTGCCGCGGTACTTTGTCTGTGCTCGCAAGAGCCGCGATCTGGTTGCAACATCGGGAGTTTACATGATCACATAAGAGGTTGAACCGTGGAATTTCGGTCGAAATTGGACTCTGAATTACCCGGCATTCATAATGTGGCATCAGCATGGTGAGTGGTAGGCACTTTGTCTTGCCGTGCGCCGGATGAATATATTTATTTCTGGCCGATGTCCTCGTCAGTGATTGTGGAAGTCATTTGGCATGCCAGGACCGTCTCCTACCAACGAGGTTTCCATATGAGCTCGCGCGCTTGCCCGGTCCTAGTCGTTATTGAGATGCAACCTGGAGGAGACATGGAAATTGTTGGAATGTGGCTATTCCAACTTTCATTTCATGGCTTCTTTCAAAAAACCAGTTGCTCTGGGTGACCAGTTGAATGTCAACAACCGAGATGCATTGGAGAATTACCACACGTCAACAGCGACACCCGTTTAGAACTGCCGAAGTTTTTTCCCAAAAAATCCTCGATCACCCCTCGCTGTGGGCCCCTCCGGGTCCTCGCTCGTTGCTCTCTTCGGATTTTTTGGAAAAAACTTCGGCAGTTTTATTCGTAGATGTCCCTCGTTGATTACCCCACATTCAATTTTCATGTCGGACTGTTGAGCTACTTCCATTGCTCCAGCTCACTCTGCACATTGCACTGTGCCCCGGCATCTCTCGTCCTTAACCGGAACTTTCTCTCGGTCATGGTCGATGTGTTTTGACATTACCTCAAAACGGTAAACCCCGAGTGTCGGAAAAAGTTCAGACATCTGCGACCATTGATCCATTTGTCTCACCTCCCTATTCTGCCCTGCACCGGTTGATATTATCGCGGCGTGACAACTATCCTACATGAAGCAGTCCTTGCTATAATCAAGCATTGTGGGCTCGACTCACTCAACTCAGTTCCCCAGCGGGTTCATGGTTCTGGATGGGGCACTCACTCGAGAGTTCTCTCACAACTTTATGAGAGGCGAGGCGACTGGATCTTCTCAACCACATTTTGTTTGAAATGGTGAACAGCAGTCCAATGCGGCATGACATGAACTTCTAGGACTTTCCGAACATGCCAACAGAGGTCACGGCCGAGAAACTCAAGCCCCTCATCACAGAGATGAATAAATAGGGCTTTTCTCTACCCCCAGAATACATTTGCAGAAGCACATTGAATTTGCGAGAGGAGCCCGAAATTGAGAACAATCTGATCATACTAGTACTTCCATTTATCCTGTTCTTTTTGCGGTGGCTCGGGAAGAAGATTTGGATGTGAGGTATTTGGATAGGCAAGCTTCTCCCTTCCTGTAGCTGGGTACGAGCATATTTGAGACGCAGAAAGTAGATGGTACTCCATTGCAAATGAAAAACAAAGTTCAAATACATGCCATTTGGATGTCCACAATACAGAATGTCAGCATAAATAATGCAAGTTCAAGTGCATGCAACTTCCAAGGCAAGTCCAAGTGCGCCAACATTTTTATAGTAAGACCTCCGCATTTTATAGTAAGACCTCCGATGGGGGGAAATCATGTTGGGACTGAGATGATGTAACAGCTACTTTGTGCAGTGGTTATGGCTCCTGGCTTGGTAATCACCACATTTTTGCGTGCTGGGTTCGAACCTCGCAGAGTCCGGTTTCCTTTCGGCCCTTGGCGGAGCCCGGGAACTTCCGACACACAGCCACAATGCCACAGCCACAATCTGGTCTGATAATCACAATGCCGCGGCATACTACTAGGCAGATCTTGGAACGACCTTCACTGAATACATTTCTTGAGCGCATGCAAATACAACGCGTTGAGAAACCGCTGCGTATGCATTTCAAATCACTGAACAGCGATCCTATCTTCCAAGAATCCCTAGAAGGCAACAAAGAATACATATTAATGTCGAGATTCTCAGTTCTTTGTGAATCATAGCGCAGATATCAGTTCTGTTTATTTTTCTCCCCATCAAATGGACTGAAATTTCGGCAGGCTGTCCCTGACTTTCAACTTTATCATCTACACATTCTCATACTCACATCCAGACTCAGTTGTGGTTAACGTCCGCAGAAATTTCCAAGAACTTACCTTGCGGAAGCTGCCCGTTCAACTCGAGCGTGGATCGTGACGAGGAGAAGCAAGGATTTTTTCGTGCACCGTTCAGTCCTTGTTCGAATTTATCCCTCTGTCTGCTCCGCATTTCTTCCCATTCACTGTCGGTGGCACATGTCCCATCCGTAATACGAAGTGGAGTTCTGAACGTGGGTTGAAATTTCGGAACACATTTCTGTCATCTTCAACATTCAACATTCAAGTTCAATCTACGCAATCGCAACCTCATAGCTACCTGACACAGTGGTGAACACTTCACGTCCGCAAGATATCTGTCTACATCGAATTATGCACATGCTGCCCTCCAATTTAAATCGCCGCGCGCGCGCGTACGCATTCCAGTGGTGAACGGTTCACATCCGCACTCTCCAGCGCCGGTTATTGTGAAACTCAACATCAAACTTACTTGTGTGCGGAAATTCCCTGTTTGACTCAGGCCCGCGTCATGAATAATGAAGCTACTAATCTCTCAGCTACCCTTTCTTGTCTGTTGCGAGATTGTACTTGCCGTGATACTCCTTTGTTTTTCCCCGCCTGTCCAAGTATGCATTCAACCCCGTCAGCTGAAATTCAGATGGGCTTGTAAGTCCCCAGCGCCTCTCAACTCCATCATTTACCCAACCCCAAAGCTACCCACTTACGGACTCGGTGGTGGATGGTTCACATCTGCAGGTATTAATCCACCCCACTTATGGGTTAAATAATTTGCAGAAGTTGCCTGTTCGACTCAGGCCCGAGTCATGATGGTATGGCGAAGGATTCTTTTATTGCTGCCAGCGAGGTTTTAGACGAGTTCAGATATTCGTGAAAGTCACGGTAGTCCCACTTTGCAGAAGTTGCCTGGTCGATTCGGGTGAGAGACAAGGAGGCATTACTGCGAGGTCCTCGTTGGCAAGATTGCGGGCGCATGTTCAAGTTGCTGAGTTGGAATTCCGGATGGCCGTCACGGTCCAACCAAGTTAAACTTCCCTTCTACCCAACCTCAAAGCTACCCACATACCAACTCGGTGGTGAATGCTTCACATCCGCAGCTATTGGTGCACCACCCCACCTATGGGTTAATTCGCGGAAGCTGCCTGTTCGACCCAGGCCCGAGTCATGACGTGGTATGGTCGGGATTCTTTTTCTTCAACCCTCAAGCTCGCAAGGATCCGTTGTTCTTCCCCGCTATATCTGCTTATGATGATATTCAGCCATAGCGCAAGATTTCCCCCTATTCAGCTATAGCCTTTCGACCTCCCAATCTACTTGACTTACTTTTTCTTGTCTTTGTCTCCCGGTCGGGTTCCAAACGAATCGTGCTTGCGCTTTCAAAATTAAGCTGGGTTGCGCATTCGAGCCGATGGCAATACAAAGCTAGAGGAAGACAAGACAAATCAAATCAGAGGATGGGAGAGTCGACAATAGTATTCAGATAGAAGGCAGTAGGCGATAGGCAATAGGCGATAGATAGTCGAGCTTGGTTCTGGTTATAACATGTCATCCGAGAGCCCGATCCGGATCACAAGCGTGCAGTTTCCAGCGAGGAGTACGACTGGGGTAAGTGGTTAGCGATAGAAAGCAATATAGTCGGAGCGGTGGCAATTAATGAAAATTACTGAAGGACTCCAAGGAGGACGGCGATGGTTGCGATATAGAGGGTTGGCGGAGGAATTGAAAATAGGTACATCTTTACAAGTGGCGGCGAAGCAGATATGCAGCTAAAAGGGTGCGGAGTGAGATTTTGACCGAGGGTGACGGCGACAAGAGAAGACCAGAAAGACAGAGAAGAGTGGGAGATTGAGAAGAGTGGGAGATTGCGTCGTGCGTGGTCGCAAGGGATTTCGGATGGGACGGGAATGGCATGTGCGAGGTAGTGGTATAGTTTGGGTCGGTGTGTTCCAGCGCCGCGCTCCAGCTGAGAAGGACCGCCCATAAGTAGTTCCTGCAGTAACTTGAAGCCCATCGCGCGCCAGGAATCTGCTGAAGAAAGAGACCGAGGAGAACGGAGCGAACGGTAGCAGAGACACGAGACGCTATGTATATACTGCGACTGTATGTTCAAGAGAGCCAGACCCTAATTTCCGACTGAGTGGGTGCTTGCGGACAATGTGGGACGCAGCAAAGGAAAGTGATGCGCCATCAATTTCCCGTCGTTCGCTCTCACTTCGTTATGGACCAGATGACATTTTCACCGCATCGCACGACGCACGACGCACGAAGCGCGGGACGAAGGAGTGCATACACACGCTGGACTCGCGAGCCTGAAGAGCTAGAGAAGGGTCGGAGAAGACGAAGAATGGGATGCAGCTCCCGCAATTACTTCGACTAGGACCGTCTCGGATGAGGGCGGCGCGAGGGGATGGAGGGGAGGGGAAAGAAGAGGCGGTTTAGAGTCTTGCTGAATGGCTCGAATGGTGCGTGTGGCGCTTACGGTGCGAGACGCCGCGACCCAGTGCTGAGGTCCACTACTCGCAGACGCCGCTCTTCGTTCTTCAGTCTTCGTTCCTCGTTTCTCGTTGGCCCACGGACGAGAAATGTGCTCGTCATATCAACCTCAAGCCTCCGTAGCTGTTGAACGATGGGAATGAGATTGAATTGAATCTATTGGACATGCGTGCGTCTCCGCCCCGCCTCGACCGCATTATATTCACCTCTTACAGTATCGGTTAACACGCGCTATAAAATCGCCCTCAGCATCGACCCGCTAACCAACGCATGGCGGACGTACCTCTTTCGCATGCTCTCTCTCGGATTGGCGTCACCGCTTGGTACCTACGCCCCTGGGACAATGGGCGGCCGCCTCTACTTTGCTCTCCTTTGACTGCTGGAGTACGAGCAACAGCGCCGACGTCCTATTCACAAGCAATGTCCTACGGCTCCACGCCTTAGATCCCGCTCGATCTCAACCGCGAGGCTATTCCGCCTCCGGGTATCCGTGCACGACTGTGGCGCTCACGATGCACCGGCCGCCCTGCACCGAAATAGGTCATGCAGCGTCTCGTGCATCGACCCGATATTACAGTCCTGCACTCTACCACACGCGGCGGACTTTCAAGGGGACGGCCTGCCTGCGCCTCACGAGGACGCCCATCGATTATATTCTCGAGCGCCCCACCCGCACCGACGCTCGCTTGTGGTCCCGGGTAGGGACGTTCTCATGCTTGCCCTCCCATCCAGTGCACCGTCGCGCGTCGCCCTCCGTGACAGCAGCGGCGTACCATCGACATCGGGCACCCATCCCAGCGTGGCACGTCCCCAATCCGCTCCCTATCCAGCTCGGCCGGCCCACCCCCGCGTACTCAAGAGGATCGCGCTGATACACTACTGCCCCGCGCCGCCCTTCTGACGATGGATGAGAGCAGCGCGCATCGAATCGCAGACCATGAGCTTATGCGCTCCGCACGCACGCCTATATACCGGAAATGGTCACTGCAGATCGATGCTCTTATCGAGTGTATCATCGCCGGCGCCACCCCACCATTTATCGCTCGTGGCGAGGAGCAGCAGACGAGCCTCAATCATCGAGCGTGTGCGTTTCTCTTCCCTACAGCGTGCGGGCTGGATCGCGCCCACGCGTACTGCTGGTAGCTCGCGGCGTGTCTATCCAGCTCCAGCGGCCGATGCAGATCGATCTCCGTATTGCGTGTCCGGAGACGCGGGGCGCGTGGGGCATCGATATGCTCTTACTCTCCCGATGGCGGCGGGCGCGGACGGCGGGGCCATGACACCCGCGATGACGGACGCGAGCCGCGAGAGTATCATACACCATCTACCTCCGCATCACACAGCGCGCGAGCATTTTATCATTGCCCCCCGCACGCGCACGCGCTCGGATCCCAGCAGGTGGGCGAGGTTCTCGGGATAGGAGGCTCGCGCGTCGTCGAGCACATCGCGAGTATTTTCCTGCGCAACGCGCGCGCAATGACGGGCGGCGGGGACAGTCTTGACCCGTGCGTGCGCATACCGCACACCTCCCGCCCCACCGCCGCCGATTACGACTCCGACTCCCGGGACGAGCGATCTGACGCGCGCTGGGACTCGGGGATGGGGGGGATCCGACGCGTTCGCTGCGTTCTTGCCATCGTGCCGCGTGGATATCGCAGTGCGGAACTCAAGGACGACGCCGATCTGGCTTCAGATCTCGCCATCGGATATCCGGCGAGGAGGTAGGGCGAAGGTGGTAAAGGGAGTGAATATGCGGGTCGGCCTCGTTGCGGAATGTACGGTCAAGACTCGGCCTGCGGCGCACGGGGACGGACGGGGAACGGTGACGCTGCATCAAGGAACGAGGAACCCGACGCCCGCGCGTATCTATCCCAGGCGTCAATCTCGGTGTCGGGTGTATGGAGCCTGGGTCGGGTGTGCGTCAGCGAGGGAGAGGAGGAGAGGGAGGATGCGTACTTCGACATCGTCCGCGCATCAAGCACCCGAGCGTCCTCACCCTCCAGCGTCTCCTTCCCTGCGCCTGCCTCTCGTCCCGGCGCCCCATCGCTTCATCGCGATGCCTGCCCCGCGTTCCTGCACCGCCATTCGACTGTCGACTATCGACATTCCCCGCAAGTACAAGAGTCAAGAGCCGCACGCGCGACATGCGGGTGTGTATCCCGCTCGTCGACTGCGCGAGAGCTACGCTGATGTTGGGTGTAGGTCGTGCGGTAACCGACGCGCGGCGGGGGACGAGCGGGAAGGGATGAGGGAGATGGACGCGATACGCGATACGTGATACGTCTAATCGTGCGCGGCGCACCGAGCGCAGCAGATCGAGCGCTGCCCGCGCTCCCGGGACGCGTAGTGAAATGGAACGGCGCGATCTTCCATATCGGCCGCTGGAGCTACAGGTCTGTCTCGCTGCTTCAGGGTACGACGGTACGCTGACGTCGGGCGTGCTGTGCTGCAGGTGGTGTGAGGGTGGGTGAGGGCGTCGATGCGGGGAACGGGAGCGGGGGGTGCTCTCGCAGGCTGCATCAAGAAACGCGCAGATATGCTCCCGTGTCATTCGGGCACGGCGTCGGCTTTGGGTACGTGGGCGGCGGGAAGCCGCCGCCCGCGTTCTTCATGCCCGTTTGCGCGACGGGGTGATACTGCGCTTGGTGGAAGAGACGAGGAAGGCGGGGAGATACACGTCGCACATCATACGTCCGCCATTCACCATTTCCGACACTTCGCCCCACTGCGTCTACCGCATACGTCTCGTCACCATCGGGGTACCACCGCGCGTCGCGGCCGCCGACCTGCTTCCTGATTTGCCTTTCGGGCAGCGTGCGACGTAGCAGCGCGCACGCCTTTGCGGTCGTCCCTCCTAAGATCTCAGCACCCCCGCCCGCCGACCTGCGCCTCGCGCCCACCTTGCTCTTCCGCTCGTCGTGACCGAGCTGCCGCGCCCGGTCTTGCTCTTGAAGATAACCGCAGCACAAGCGGACAATACGGCCACGGGGCGCGCCTCCCAGCTCCCAGGCAGAATACGCGTGCAGGCGGCGTCGCGGTGGCGGGATGCTCGTGCCCGTGGGCGGTGCGCCGACTGCGTGGAACAAGGAGCGCGGTCAGGTTATCATCGTGATGGCAGAGGAGCGGCCGACTGCGTGGAACAAGGAGCGCGGTCGCGGTATCATCGTGATGGCAGAGGAGCGCGCCTGCGGCTGGCTATGTCGCGCCAGTACGGGCCCGTGCTGGTGCGTGTGACGCGGGCGATGAGAGGCCGCTCGTCGATGCGCGGGGGATGCACTTGAGCTACTCGTCGATGCGCCGGCCATCCCCGCTCG